GCTCCGTCATCCTCTGGACATTATCGTGATCCCTGCGTTTCCTGTGCATAAACATGGGTAGACCTGACTAGGGTGACCAGATTAAATAAAAGACACAGTTAAATTTGCATTTCATAAAAGCAGACACTTTTAAAATGCAAGTATGTCCCAAATATGGCATGGAACATACTTACAGTAATAAAGTATTCATTGTTTATCCAAAATGCAATTTTTTTTTGCTAAATCTTGCACCCTACCTCTGACCCCACATTAAAAGTTCAATTTTAAAAATTGATTCCATATATATGGGTGGTTCTAAAAGTGGCTAAGGCACTCAATGGGAGACCTTCTCAACAATAGCATGTATAGACACACACACACACACACACACACACAACAGGAAAAGAGGAATAACTTTCAACACTCCTCTTGAGTAAAGGAGGCAGTAAATACAATGAGTGTTAGACCTCACTGATACAAGACAAAGAATGTGGTGCGCCCCTCTGTCCTGCGTGAGCAGACAGGAGGCCAAAACAAGCTGGATGCTCCCTGCTCCACACAGCTCACCCTATGGACGGAAAGTTAATTCCACCCCTTTTATCTCTTCCTCCAACTCAGAGCTCACGTCTGCTCCCAAGGTAATCAGCTTAAGGGAAACCAGATCATAAACTCAAGCTTCCTGACCAAGAGGCAGAGGAACAAATATGACCCAAGCAAATACAGCACCGGGCTTCAGGAGGGGAGGCGGTGAACGAGAAAATGACCCTCCACAGAAGGCAATCTTGTTTGAACAATGGCAAGCCAATCTTGCTTCTCAGGGGCTCACGCTTTTTTTAAAATTTCAGCTTTATTGAGGTATAGTTGACATGTGAAATTATAATTTATTTTTAAAAGTAAAAATAAAATTGTAAGTTACTTAAAGCGTACATCATGGGGGATTTGATGTACATATACAATGTGAAAGGATTCCCTCCATCTAGTTAAATAGGGGCTCACACTTTAAACATGCAAGCCCTCTTTTGTTTTTCAGGAGATATCAAACCTATCATAATTTATTAGGGAAAGTATATATATATATCACACATATGTAAAAATAATCCTTTTTCACACTGCAGTGAAGATATAAATAGGCACATTCTAAGATAGGTTTAAATCGCAATGGAAGGTAGATTCAATTTTAAAAATAAAGTAAAAGATTAATGACCATACACTGCAAGCCAATTAACTCCATTCTTTCTGGGAAAGAGCAGCAGGAAAGCCCATTCAACTGCAGCCAGTACTGCTCCATCAGCAGTAGCAGGATGAGCTGGACTAAAACGTGCTGCTTGGAGCTATTGGCTAAGAAAAATTAAATGTGTGGTCTACATTCGGCAAGAGTTCCTTGAACACTCCTTTAGTCTACTAGTAAGATACCTTGCAGTATAAGCCTCAAAAATGAGCTGAAGTCATGCTCGGCCTCCAGGATATTACAATGTGTCACAGAAATAAGGACATACACATAAACAGTTGACAGTCTAAAGTAGTCATTTAATTAAATGTCAGGTGCCCCGTTAGCGGATCAGTCTCATAATTAAATGTCAAAATGAGTTTCCAAGTTGGCAATCTCAGGTGGATGCCAGAGAAAGATTAATTCATTGCAGTACAAATTATTCATCAAGAAATGAATTTCTTGAATTTCCAAGGAATTCTTTCTCCCCTTAGACAAGCATAAGAGATGGAATCACTGGAGACAGCACTGAATGCCCCACCCAAGTTCTCTGGGCTCCAGAGAAGAGGGCTCCCCACGGCCACTGTGGAAAGAACAGAGCCCTCATCTTTCTACTTGCTTGCCCTTTCCCTTTCCAAGGAGGGTAAAGCCATTCTTGGGGACAACAGGAGGGTAGAAGAGGAGAGAGGTGTTAGCGTAGCTATGGACATTGCTTCTCTTAGATAAAATAGGAAGAAATAGCAAAGCGATAACCATTTCTTATTCTCCCATTCCCTTTTCAGTCATTCAATACATTTTTGAGTGCTTACTATGTGCCAGAAACCATTCTAAATGCTGTGCATACCATAGTGAAGAAGAGAAATTCCTGACCTTCATGGAGCTTGTAATCCACCAATGGGAGACAAATATTGAGAGAGAGAGAGAGAGAGAGAGAGAGAGAGAAGTATTAGAGATTCTAAAGAAAAATAAGGTAAGGTAAGGGAACAGAAAATGATGGGAGGGGTGAGGGATACTATTTTAAATGGGATGGTTCAAGAAGGGCTCTATACAGAAATGGCTTTTGACCTGAATGAAATGAGTGAGAAGACCATGCAGACATTTGAACGAAGAGCATTTCAAGCAAAGGAAACTTCAAGTGCAAAGCTCCTGAGGTGTGCCTGGCTAAAGCAGAGTAAGCAAAGGAGAGCAAAATAGAAAATGAAGCCCTCGCTGCTTTGGCTCAGTAGACATCGTGTTGGCCTATGGACTAAAGGGTCCCAGTTTTGATTCGAGTCAAGGGCACATGCCCAAGTTGCAGCCTCAATCCCCAGTAGGGGGCGCGCAGGAGGCAGTCAATCAATGATTCTCATCATTGGTGTTTCTATCTCTCCCTCACTCTCCCTTCCTCTCTGAAATCAATAAAAATATTTTTTTAAAAAGAAAATGAAGCCCCATACCATGTAAGGGGCATGTAGGCCATGATGAGACTTTGTTTTTCTTCTGAGATAAAAGGCTACTGGAGAGTCTGAGCAGAGGAGTGAGTGACTTTAGCTGCTCTGTTGAGAACAGACTGTAAAGTGGTGAGGGTGGCAGTAGGGTGGCCTGTAGGAGGCTTTTGCAGTGATCCAGGAACTTCATGGTGGCATTGGAAGTGGTGAGAAATGGTGATTATCCTAGATATACTCTCAAAGTATGTAGAACCAATGAGATCGGCTGAAGGATTAGATATGGAAATGAGAGAAAGAGGAGAACCAGGATGACTCCTGGGTGTTTAGCCTCAGCATCTGGAAGAATGAAGTTGCCATTAACGAGATGGGGAAGCTAAGGGAAAAGCAGGTTGGGATGGGAAAATCAAGAGTCTGGTCCCTACAGGCTGTTGCCCACTCCCAAACCCTTACATCTGTTACAAAACCAAAGCAGTAGAAATTGAGAATCTAAATTTCATATGGAAATTCAAGGGATGCAGAATAGCCAGAATAATCTTGAAAAAAATACAAAGTGGGAAGGCTCACACTTCCCAATTTCAAAACTACTACAATGCTACAGTAATCAAGACAGTATGGTACTAGAATAAGGATAGACATATAGGTCAATGGAACAGAATTTAAAGGTCAGAAATATACTCTCGCATTTACAGTCAATTGATTTTCAACAGAGGCGCCAAGACCATTCAAAGGGGGAAAATAGTCTTTTCAACAAATGGTGCTAGAAAACTGGATTTCAACAAGCTAAAGGATGAAGTTGGACCCCAACCTCATATCATATACAAAAATTAACTTTAAATGAATTAAAGATTGAAATGTAAGAGCTAAAACCATAAAACTCTTAGAAGAAAACATAGATATAAGTCTTCATGACTTCAGATTTGGCAATGCTTTCTTAGATTTGACACTGAAAGCACAAGCAACAAAAGAAAAAAAATAAATAAATTATACTTTATTAAAATTCAAAATCAAGGCAGGCCATGGAAATTATGAAAAGGAGGAAAGGAAGAAAGTGGGAATGAAAAGCAATGTAAAATAGGTTGTTTGACTCAGTGGATTGAGTGTTGGCCTGTGGACTGAAGGGTCTCAGGTTCGATTCTGGTCAAGGGCATGTACCTCGGTTGCAGGCTCTCAGCCCCGGTCAGGGGCATGCGGGAGGCAACTAATCAATGTGTCTCTCTCACATCAGTGTTTCTCTCTGTCTCTCCCTCTCCCTTCCACTCTCTCTAAAAATCAATGGAAAAAAATATCCTCAGGGGAGGATTAAAAAATAATAATACAGAAAAGAATGATCCTCAGTCAAGTTCTTTCAACATTAATATTAACCTTTATTCATTTCCAACCACCTAAAGAAACCCTATTTTCCAGACTGTGGCCCGCCCCCCAAGCAAGTTTTTAAGAAAAGAAAAGAAAAGAAAGGAACAGTGAAGCACCAACAAATTAAATCAGCAGTAATTATAGAAAACTTACATGGCATAACACTACTCACCCCTCCCAACATCTGATTGAGGAGTTAACCATAAAGGGAGAAGCCATCCAGTAGGAAAAACAGCTGTTAGCCCACAGAAGTAAGGTAAGGGGAGACACTATGGCAGAGAGTCTGAGGCCGTGTGGCCCAGGTAGCCAGTAGGAACCAGAGGCTGGGAATGCAAAGTCAAGAGCTCACAAGATTTCCTTCACTTCGGGCCTGACTTTGCTTAACTGTGATCTATTGGGACAGAGACAAGCCTTTGGCAATAGTTTGGAAACCTGTCATCACAACAGTACTACCGCCAGCCAATACTGAGAGCCTGGCTGCCAGGTAGACTTTCTGGCTGACGGACAGGAGAAAGGGGAACCCTCTCCCACCCCCCAGTTTGCCGTCCAGACCCAGACCAACAAAGGTGTTGCAAAGACGTTCCATAATTCACCCGAAAACAGCAAAGGGGAACAAAGAACTAGAGGTCAGTGCAGGAGGCCCGGGACCTTCCTTCTCTCCTCCTAGAGAAGTTCCTCCCCCGCTAATGGGGACCCCCGCACCTGGATGCCACCCGGGGTTGACCTCAACCCCCCATCCCAACCTAGGACTAGCCTGCATCAGCACCTTGAACACAAAGCAGACCTCAGTCCCGGCCAGCTGTCATCGTGAGGTCTGTGCCAAGGCCATCCAGGGCCTGGGTGCAGCAAAGCAACTTTCCTGGCAGGCTCAGCCACCGAGGCCAGCGGAGAGGCAGCCGCAGCCTCCACCCAGCCCAGCCCAACCCAGGACCAGGACCAGACCCGCGCCTGGCCGCTACCCGCTCAGCCCTCTGGGCGACGCGGAGCCCGGCCGCGCTGGCGGCGCCGGGGCCAGGACGCGCTTCCCGACTCACCTGGCTCAGCCCACCGTCCCCCGCCGCTCGGCCTCTGTGCGCGCAGCAGCCGCCCGCAGGCCTTTTTTGGGTCCTTTTCGTTTCTTTTCCGTCTGGCCCCACATCACTTCCCG